TGCATTTCTGACAGTCCTCTCAGTTTCTTGTGGGACCCCCATCCCTTCCATTTGATGGCAAATGATATCCCCAGCATTTTCCTTTTTAACCACACATATTCTCCAAGCAGCCATCTTCACCACCTTGGTGTTAACTGATGCCATATATCAAGAACTTCCAAATTTGACTCTCACCCTGTTCTTATCTCTAGTGTCCCATTTCAAACTCCTACCAGGTATCACTAACTGATGCCAGATACCTCAAAACCAAAGCACCCAATGTTAAATTTAGTATTTTCCCTTTCATTTGCTGCTCCTTCTTTCTTTCTTTCTTTTCTTTTCTTTTCCTTTTCTTTTTTTTCTTTTCTTCTCTTTTCTTTCTTATTTTTCACTTTATTTTATTCTTTTTTTTTTGTACCAGGGATTGAACCCAGGGGTGTTCAACTACTGAGCCACGTTCCCAGCCCCTTTTTAAATTTTGCTTAAGGCCTCATTGAGTAGCTGAGGCTGGCTTTGAACTCGTAATCCTCCTGCCTCAGCCCCCTGAGCCTCTGGGTTTACAGGCATTTGCCACTCTGCCTGGCCTACTCTTTCTTTCTGTACTATTACCACTGTCCTCGCAGCTTCTCAGTTTAAAGCCATACTGCTGTCTTTGGCCCTCTTTTCTGGCCATAACTGTTCATTGTATTTCCTCCTCCTCAACATCACCGCTAAGGCTGGCACATCTCTCAGTGGCCTCCAAACTGGAGTCCTGCAGTTACTTCACTATTTTGAGAGACCCATCATTCTAAGCTATTTATATATTCATGTTCCTCCCTTGCCGAATGACAACAGAACCATCTTTCTCTTTCAGAAAAGTTCAGAACTCTCTTTGGAACTTAGGTTGGGTAACTGGCCTCAGCCGTCCTTGGCTATTTCATTTCATGTCATTTCTGATCACAATTTGCCACTGAAAAGAACATAAATATACATTCCCATAGGCTCTGTGCCTTGTGATTTAATCATTTTCATCAAAGCCTGGTCATCCTTCAAAAGTTAACTAAGAACCAACTCCTATATGTAATCCTCCTTAATTGACTTAGGCAGAATTAAGTGTTTTCCCATCTCTACTTTCACTACATATATTAATCTTATGGCCTGTGTAGGACTTTTGACATTATTTCATAGTCAGTTATGTGCCTCTGCTCCCACCAGACTGATTTCCTTAAGGATGGTGAATATGCATTGCTTCCATTTGGAGCCCCTAACATGCAATACATTTGCTAAATGTTTTAGAGTTCATCTAAGATGAAATGACTATTTGAGTGATGTTCATAAAGAGAAACTGTAGAAATGTTGCCATTACTCATCCTTCTACTTTTCAACCTCCATAAAAGTTTACTCAAATGAATTACGTGTTTTCTTTATTTAGTGGCAAAAGATGTGACCACTTTTACTCAATACATTACCATTTTCTTTCCAGGAGAATTTACCCCAGAAATGCAATTACGAATACGGCAAGAAATTGAGAAGGAAAAGAAAACAGAACCTTGGAAAGAAAAATTCTTTGAGAGATTTTATGGAGAAAAGTAAGTACTAGAGCATTTTTTCTCATTTCTCTTAGAAGGAAATGAAAATGTAATTCTCCGCTTCACATAGCACACTCATATGCTGTAAAACTTAATAAACCTGTGATAAAAGGCAATAGTCCCTCGGTGTAAGAAATTGCGGGTAAAATTATACTGGCATATCAGCACTTAAATTTTTTAAAATGCATTTTCAAGGGTTTATAACTTGTTCATGAAAATTCATTTTGGACTGAAAATAGCACATGAAATCCTATAGAGGTCAATTTTGGCTTTCACAAGTAGGTTTTAGTAAAATTTCCCTGGTTTTTATCCAAGTATTTTCATTAGTAAATTCTTTAAAGATAAGTAGTTTTAGGCACATATTTAATTCTCACATCATTTTCCAAAAATATTGGCTCAGCATGTCCACTTTAATATTTGTTTAGTTTTGTTTTGGGGAAAGCCTGAGGGTATTAGCCTTCACTTTGTCCATCTTTCTCTCAGTTGTCTGTTTCTAATTTATTGTTTGTGTGTTCACATCCACTTCTTTTTTTTTTTTTTCCTTCAAAAAAGTAATACCAGCCACCTCTGAGTGTGGAAGTAATTGAACTAACCTGAGAACAGTTCCAACTTTGCCTCACATCCAGCACAGATATTTTCTACTCAGCCAGAATTAGTGTCTCAGACACTCAGCCCTCAGGAAAGGAAAGATTTGGGGGCTGATCTTTGACACTGACTTCAGGTCATACTCAGGAGGGGAGTTTGGGTTTTAATACCACTTTCGTAACTAAGACTTGAAAATTGTTATTTTGTGCAAAGAACACCAAGGTGGTTGCAGGTAACAAAACCTGTGCCGTGTGATCTGATTTCACAAAATTTCCCCTGTAAATGGTGAAAATAAGCCCAAAGGAGTCCTATTGGTGAGCTCTTCTGGAAAAGGACTCTGATGTTGAAGAGACTGCTTACTTGGAGGAGGGCAGCCTGGGTGAACTATCCTCTGTAGCAGCTCTCTTGAGCCATAAGGCCTGTTTTTAATTGCTGTGCCAGCCCAGTTTTATGCAAACTTAATGGAAACAGTTCGTGTATTTTCTCAAAGGTTGAATATGAAGCAGGCTGCTTCTGTGTCTTCACATATAATCACCAGCAGTATTACTCAATCCTGGCCACATCAGAATCCCCATTGGAGATTGTAAATAGATACAAATTGAGAAATACTGATTGAGAATCCCAGGAATGGAACCCAAGAATCCACTCTGGTAGAAGCTTTCCAGGTCATGTCACAGCCACAGCCCAGCAGGGTTAAGAATCATGAGGACCAGCTTCAAGACCACTCAGAAACCCCCTCCTTTTGTCCATGGAAGTGCATGTTGGGGGCACTATTTCAGTAATGCAGAAATATAACTCAGTTACCTCTAGAGCACTGATCCTTAGTTTTTGATAAGTGATGGACCTAATCTTTCATTAATTGAACAATATTTTATCTAACCTTTCCTCTGTGATTGACACTCTTCAATGCCAGGGACATGGTCCCTTGCAGGGCTTTTGCGCCTCTGCCCCCAGTGAGCCCACATTAATGGGACTTTGCATTAGAGAGTTTTCCTTCATCTGGTAAATAATTATTGAGCATATACTGACTGTTATGTTTCCTAAGAATTTTGTAGTAATATTTTATTCTATCATCTTAATAATTATGTGGCATGGATATTAATATTATTATTATTACTGTTGTTTAAAAAATGGAAAATTGAGAAAAAGTGAAGCTAAGTAATTTTCCCAAGTTTACACAGCAAGGTTAAGTAAATTGCTCAAAGTCTTATCCTTATAAATAGCTCTTAGAAAAATTCACACACCTGCATGGTTTGGAGATTTCATTAATTTGGAGATTTCAAAAATTTGGAGATTTCATTAATTTTCATGAATATTAGGTTAAGGGCTAATGTCCAAATTTTCTGTTGACCGACACCATGTGCTTCTCATTAGAAGCTACAATGCTCTTAAGTATGACTCCTCTTCACCTCACCAAACTGCAAACACAAAGAAATTCTTACTCTGGACCCTTTCTTTCTGTATTTTATGAATAATATGTTTAGTTTCTTTTTTACATGTATTTTTATTTGTTCCTTTTAGTTATTATACATGACAGTAGAGTCTACTTTGACATACTTATGCAAACATGGAGTATATCGTATTCTAATTAGGATTCCAGTCTTGTGGATGTACACGATGTTGAGATCCACAGTGGTGCATTCACATATGTCCATAGGAAAGTTGTGTCAGATTCAATCCACTGTCTTTCCTGTTTCCCCTCTCTTCTCTTAATTCCTCTTTGTCTAATCCACTGAACTTCTGTTCTTCTCCTCCCACCCCTTGGTTGCATGTTAGCATAAACATATGACAGAGACCATTTAACTCTGGGTATTTGGGATTGGCTTGTTTCACTTAGCATAATAGTCTTCAGATCCTTCCATTTGCCAGCAATTGTCATAGAGTCGTTCTTCTTTATAGAGAATAATATTTCATTGTGTATATATACTATATTTTCTTTATCCATTCACCTGTGGAAGGACACCTAGTTTGGTTTTATAGCTTAGCTATTGTGAATTGAGTCTCTCATTCTTTTCTTTTATTGCATATTGATTGACAGATACGTTATGGATCGTTCATTTACTGTCCTTGCCATTTTTTTTTACTCTTAGATTACCCATATTTCCCCAATATGAGGGATTTTCCCTAACATCATAAAATTTTCTGTTGACCAACACCATGTGCTTCTCATTGCTTTAAGTTTTTCCAAAAAATGTTGCCATCTAAACTTGTCTCTATTTAAGTTGTGTCCAATGTAGTCTTCTGGGACTTGTTTTAGATATTTATCATAATCATTGTTGATTTAATCTGCTTATAATATAGTACTGGTCTATATTAGTTTTAGTTACTTAGAGACCACTCATCTATATGCCAACTCAGAATTATAGGTTGTTCTCTGAATTTGTGGTGTGGATTCTTGAGGTCAGTTTTCCCTTTGTGAGGAATGTGGTATGCAGTGAGTGTCGTCTTTAGTGCCTGTGCCACGGTATACCTATTGTTGCATGAAAATAATCAAATATTAGCATAAGCATATTTAACACAATGTCATTTTACACATTCACACATATCTTTATCCATATGTATATTTAATATCATTGCTTTTAGCCAACTAACAAAAATTTGTCTAGATTTCTATCTGTCATATACCTAGTGTCAGAGGTATCTCTGCTTGACCTAGTTCTGAAGGACTTTATATCCAGATGATTATTGTGCTTTAAATTTTCTGTAATATAGTTCTTCTCCCAGTATAGTATAGTTATAAATTATAACTCAGTTTGAACCCATTCTAGGGAAAGCTGAAAAGAAACTCTGAAGGAACTATTGTCCAGTCTTTTCAGAATCTTCTGAATTATAAGAAAGAAAACAATGATCAGACACCCAAAAAGTGTATTCAATTTTACAGTTTGGGAATTTTATTTAAATAAAAGACTAAAATGGATTTCACTGACATTTCTTACATCAATACTACTATAGCTATATTTTTTCACTGTGTTTCTTTGTTAGTAGTCTCTCTTATACTTATTTTTGTCATTGCTTATTCCCTGTTTAAACTTCATTTAGAATAGCATGTATCTCTATCTTCTGATGCTGATGTTATAATTTAATATGAAAAAAACCAGTGTCTTAGAGTATACATAATTGTAATTCTGAATAGCTTTGCCTGCTGAATATTAGGCTGGATTATTTATTGATTTTCTTTACTACCTCGTATGGAATAGCTTTATAGTAAGGCCTTCTACATGAATGCATTTAAAAGTTTTGCTTCACACAAATGGAATCTGTTAGAATAACTTATTTAGAAGAGTTTCCATATTTCAAATTAGATACTGAAATATGGTGATTGAGTAACATTTCTTAGATTACTTTAAGAGAACTAATCTTTGGGTGTCATTTCAATTTCAGAATTTTGTGTATTTTCTTCATTTTCCATGGATCTTAATTAACTGTGTCGCATAATCTGAAATCCACATAATTTTCTGTTATTAGGGCATCTTTCTACCATCTGACTTCAAAAAAGTTATATCTTACACATTCCTTTGCTTTTCTGCCCATATTTTCTGATCTTTTTTATTTGGGATTTTATTATTGGCTTTATGAATACTTGCTAAGGTCTGTATTTTCTTGCTTACACAATAAAAATCTCTTTCTTACCCAGAAGTAGAGTTTGTTTTAGTTATGGTTATAAAGGTAGTGGAGAAACTATATCATTATAAACTATTTTACATAAATGAATTATTTCACTAAGTGGGATATAAGATTAATTCAATTCATTTACTTCTATCGAATAGAAGTAAATACTATGAGAGAGATCCAAGTTGTATCTTTCATGTTATGTGGTTGAGCAGTAATTTAATATATCTAATTTTTGTTCAGGTTGGGCATGTCAAGAGAGGAGTCTATGAAGCTTACTTCTGGACCAAATAATAATGGAGCTGAAGCTAGTTCTTCACGTGGGACCACTGGTCTTCAGGGTTCTTCTGCGCAGACCCCCTTGGAAGAACAACAGCCCCAAAGCATGCAAAGTTCTGCTTCTTCACAACCTGATTTCTGTGCTACAGTATGTCCAATGGTCGAAGTTCCAGCTAAAGACGTAATGGCAGATTTGGAATCAGAGGATATTTTGATCCCCGAGGAAGCTGTGATTCAGGAGGAAATTGCAGAAGAAGTAGAGACTAGTATCTGTGACTGCCACGATGAAAATCACAAGACAATACATGAATTTTCAGAGGAGTGTGAGAGTCCAACCACCTCTCATAAAGAGCCCCTAATAGCAGCACCCCATGATGGCAACTTAGAATCCTGTGTTGTGATGAATGATGTTTTAGAAACTTTGCCTCATATTGAAGTTAAGATAGAAGAGAAATCAGAACCTCTGCAGGAAGAAATGTCAGTTGTTATTGATCAACTAGAAGTCTGTGATTCTCTTGTTCCTTCCACTTCATCTGTGACTCATGTCAGTGACGCAGAACTTAAGGAACCAGAAATCGCAATAGAGACCAACACTTCAAAAATAAAAACAGGGTCATCGTCTTTAGAAGGCCAATTTCCACATGAAGGAATTGCTGTGGATATGGAGCTACAGAGTGATCCCGATGAACAGCTTTCAGAAAATGCTTGCATCTCTGAAACTTCTTTCTCCTCTGAGAGCCCAGAGGGAGCCTGCACCAGCCTGCCGTCCCCAGGAGGAGAAACCCAATCCACATCTGAAGAATCATGTACTCCAGCCTCCCTTGAAACGACATTTTGTTCTGAGGTGTCCAGCACTGAAAATACAGACAAATATAATCAGAGGAATCCGACTGATGAAAACCTCCATACATCTTTGATATCGGAAATATCTCCAATATCCACTTCACCTGAAATATCAGAAGCATCTCTTATGTCTAACTTACCATTGCCATCTGAAGCATCGCCAGTATCCAATGTAGTTTTAACATCAGAAGCATCACCGATGTCTGATTTACCTTTGACATCGGAAACTTCTTCAGTGTCTTCCATGCTTCTCACGTCTGAGACCACTTTTGTATCCAGTTTGCCACTTCCTGCAGAAACATCTCCGATTCCTAATTCTTCCATGAGTGAAAGAATGGTGCATCAACAAAGAAAGTCACCTTCAGTATCTGAAGAAGCACTCTCCCCACACAAAGATGAACCCTCTGCTCCTGCTAAACCCCTAGGAGAAAACCTCATCTCTCAGCAGAAGCCTCTATCCAATACTCCTGAGCCCATCAAAATGGGTTCTTCTTCCATTGCTCCTGAAGCGTTTCCATCTGAAGAACTTCACAATAAGACCCTGGGTCAGCAGCCCTGTAAATCACATGTTGAAATTGAGAAGCCCTATCTTCCTTCAGTCCCAGAACTTTCTTCTACAGAAATGATGAAAGTTAAAAATCTTAGTGTCCTGCAAAGAACAGAAAAGAAAGGGCTATCCTCCCCCTTAGAATTACCTGCCTTCTCTGAAGAGACAGAGAGCAAGGGAAATGAGCCTCCATCAGCTAAATTGCAGGACAAGCAGTACATCTCTTCAGTGGATAAGGCGTCATTTTCAGAAGGCTCTAGAAGTAAAACACATAAGCAAGGGAGCACACAGAATCGATTGGAGATCTCGCATACTTCCAAATCATCAGAGCCCTCCAAGTCACCAGATGGGATAAGAAATGAATGTAGGGAATCAGAGATATCAAAGAGGAAAACTGCAGAACAGCATAGCTTTGGAATCTGTAAGGAAAAGAGAGCTAGGATAGAAGATGATCAGTCAACCCGGAGCATATCATCCAGCAGCCCACCCGAGAAGGAGCAGCCTCCAAGAGAGGAACCCAGGGTTCCCCCTCTCAAGGTAAGATATATATATTTTAAAGATATGATTTTTTTATTTTTTAAAAAAATACCTTCATTTTATTTGTTTATATGTGGTCCTGAGGATCAAACCCAGGGCCTCACATATGCTAGGCGAGCACTCTACCACTTAGCCACAACCCCAGCCCTAAGATAGGATTTTTTAAAAAGGAAATTGTATAAGAGGCTTTCCTTATTAAGAAACTTAACTTTCAGGCCAGGCATGGTGGCATGCACCTGTAATCCCAGTGGTTTGGAAATTTGAGGCAGGAGGATTGTGAATTTAAAGCTAGCCTCGGATATTTTACAAGGTCCTAAACAACTTAGCCAAACCCTGTGTCAAAAAAAAAAAAAAAAAAGGGGGAGTGGGGATAGGCTCAGTGGGTAAGTGCCCCTGGGTTTAATTTCTGATACCAAAAGACAAAAAAGAAAGAAAGAAAGAAACTTAACCTTCAAGAATAGATTAGGTATTTCAGGTGTTTTTCTTTACAGTTTTTATACCACAATTCACAGTTAATCCTTCTAGCATCCAGTGTAATAGTAAATGATTCTTTTTAAAACTATGCAATGAGTTCATATCAGGTATTTAAACATCAGTATTTAAGGGAAAAAATTAAGAAGAGGGAACAGGATGTGGAGAAGCATGGAGTCCACTAAGACACTAGGACTTTTGTGGATCCCAACATATAGAACTCCACACAGTTTTTGGGGAAAATGTGAGAGATATTTCAGTGACCTAGAGAAAGTAGTCTAAAGTCAGAGGGCAAAGTGAAGGTACATATTATTCCTGCATTCATTTTCCAGCTAACACTGAAAACCATCATTGCTTAGCAAAGATGACCTGATTTATGGCCTCATTAAATATTCCTTGAATAAATTTATAAAATTGCCTTATGAACTGTGAGGGAGAATAAAGTAGATACAGAGACATACAAATCCTGATTTTTATTTCCAAATAGAAAAAGAGTCATTAATTTCACAAAGTAATAAATCCGCTGTGTGCATGCCTGCAAATCCCAGCTATTTGGGAGCCTGAGGTAGGAGGATCACAAGTTCAATTCTAGCCTGGATAACTTAGCTAGACCTTTTCTCCAAATAAAAGGGACCGAGAATGTAGCTCAGTCCTTGCCAAGAATGTGCAAGGCCCTGGGTTCAATCCCCAATATTGTAAAATACTATTACTATTATTATTACTACTAGTAGCACTACAACTACTAGTAGAACTATAATAAAGTCTCATGATTCCAATAAATTTTTAATTCTCATTAAACAAATCTTTTATATAAATTGGATCTGCCTAAGTAAACTGAAAATTCAGGTCAATTCAAAAGAAACCCTCTGTTTAATTAAAAAATTCAAACCTAATGTTATTTTGATTTGATGTTTCTTATCTAAGCCAATTTATATTTTTGTACAATAAATTAGAGTATTCCCCCAGTTCAGGATTAATTGGAGTTATAAATATCTCAAGCTCTTTAAAAATATCCTTCTTTATTCTTTCATATCTATTTTTATCTTCACAAGGTTTGACTTGTTTGTAAGAATGTGGTTGTCGTCATTCTATTTAACAAAGCAATTTCAATTAAATAAAATTCTAGAGATGCAAGAGATGAACACTAAACTCCAATTAAAAATCCATTATTGGGGCTGGGGTTGTGGCTCATTGGTAGAGTCCTTGCTTGCCTAGCATCTGTGAGGCACTGGGTTTGATTCTCGGCACCACATAAAAAAATAAGTCAGTAAATAAAAATTCAGTATGTATTTTAATTTCTGAACCACAGAAAGAAAAACATAAATATCATTTTTAGAGGAAATATTTTCAAACATACCAGCCTGATTTTTTTGGTCTAAATATCATTTTCAAAATGATATGCACTTTATTAATAGATAGATGGATGGGTGTTAGAGATGTTAAACGCATATTTGATGTTTGGCCTTAAACTCTTTTTTTAAAGAGTGTTAGATTTACTTTTAAATACGTTAATTTTTTTTTTAGACTGGGAAATATTTAAAAGGAACAATTTAATTCTGTTGCCAAATTCACCTCTTCTTGTCATAGATTAGAGGAGAGGCTTCATAAGTGATTTACAAATGATAAGGAGACAACTCAGGAAGATGATAATTTCATTTATCAAGGTTCCAAAACGTAATTCCAAATAGAAATGATCATGTAGTCGGTGTTGCAGTTATAGTGTAAATGTATCTATGTTGGGGGTGGGGGAGGTTTTCTAAGCATTTTTTTTTTCAGAATGGGGGAGAGAAAACAGACTACTTTAAACATCCCGACTTGGGAGCCCATAGATACTCTCTCACTGACTGGTTTATATGACCCTATGTCAGATGACTCTACCTTCAAAGGCTCCGTTTTTTTTAAGTGGGAAATGAAGACTTTAACCAGAGCCCTTCCAGCTCCACAAATCAATGACTCTGAGAATACTCTTACTGACTGGAGCATCATAGCATTGCTATGGGATTCTGAGTGCTAGGTCTTGTGCCTCATGAACTTGGCAGTGATTTCATGTGTCTCTTCATTAGCATAAGTAGGCAAAAAGTGTAGAATGCAACACGGTTCCAAGTTCAGCTGATCGTGCATTACCAACATCAAAAGAAAAAACTGCCCACTCCATACTTTCTGGGAAAGGCAGAAAATCAGTGTTGCTCTTGCTTTTATGAAGATGTAATGATGTAATGATAATGTAATCCCTTTGGAAAACTGTGCTCTCACAAATACAGTCTCATGCAATCTTTATAACAGCCCTGTGGAGGAAATAGACCAGAAATAACTCATTTCATTTTACAACTGAGTTTACAAACTCATATAGTGTGCGTATTACACACCTATAAGGCAGCACACCAGGTGGTATAGGAATACAATCCTTGGCCAGAGAGAGTTACCTGCGAAACTGAGGTACATAGTAATTTGCTACTATAACAGAGTGCCTTTGTGTGATACCTTTGTGTGAAACCAGGATAATTCTCGTCTCCCGTCCTCTTGACCTGGACTTTTTTCTTTGGGTTGAATTAAGTCAGGTCAACTCAAACTGAGTAAGAGTCCTAGTTGATTTTTGTTTTTTTCCTACTCTAGCAGGGAGAATGATTTAAAAACTAAGCAGATCCAAACCTTTTTAGCTAATCTTATGGTACAAAACATGGATTTTGTTTTCATGTATGTAAGACATTAAGACAGTGCTTTATTTCCATGCCAAAGCAAGTCACCGGTTGATTTTTAAAACATCCTTTCATACTCGTGTTGCACTTACTGTTGCTTTACGTCCTAAGCGCTCATTCAGAGGTGTAGTTCGTTTCATGTTGTGGGAGAGCACTGCTTGTTTTCCAATTGCATCATGGCCTCCCACATGCCTTCTCTGCCATCACAAATGAAGTGCTTTTTCTTTCTGTTCTTTCCTCGCAGATCCAGCTTTCCAAAATCGGACCACCCTTTATTATCAAGAGTCAGCCAGTCTCCAAACCCGAGTCTAGAGCATCCACTAGCACCTCCGTCAGTGGGGGGAGGAACACCGGAGCCAGGACCCTTGCAGACATCAAGGCCCGTGCCCAACAAGCTCGGGCCCAACGTGAGGCTGCTGCAGCTGCTGCAGTAGCTGCTGCAGCGAGCATCGTCTCTGGCGCTATGGGGAGCCCAGGAGAGGGTGGAAAGGCAAGAACCCTGGCACACATCAAAGAGCAGACCAAGGCTAAACTCTTTGCAAAACATCAAGCCCGAGCCCACCTCTTCCAGACTTCTAAAGAGACCCGGTTGCCTTCGCTCAGCTCCAAGGAAGAGCCTCCAAACTTAGAAGTCTCTTCTACCCCTGAAACAAAAATGGAAGGTTCCACCGGGGTCATTATTGTCAATCCAAATTGCAGGTCTCCTAGCAACAAGTCCGCTCACCTCCGGGAGAGCAGCACTGTTTTACAGCAGTCTCTTAACCCCACTCAACTTCCGGAAACTGCCACTGACTTATCTGTACATAGTTCTGATGAAAACATACCTGTGTCCCATTTATCCGAGAAAATTGTTTCATCTACCTCTTCTGAAAATAGCAGTATGCCCATGCTTCTCAATAAAAATCCTGTCCCTGTGTCTGTCTGCAGCGCTGCTATGTCGGGAGCAATTAAAGAACACCCCTTTGTGAGTTCTGTTGACAAATCCTCTGTGCTGATGTCCGTCGACAGTGCAGCCACTACCATTTCTGCTTGTAATATAAGCATGTTAAAAACCATCCAGGGAACTGACACTCCATGCATAGCCATTATACCAAAATGTATTGAAAGCACTCCTATTCCGGCCACTACAGAGGGCGCCGGTATATCCAGCTCTATGGACGATAAGCCACTGCTCATACCAAGCAGCAGTGCCACTAACTTAATCTCCAGTCAGTACACCTCTGTGCCAACTCCCTCCATTGGAAATAATTTGCCAAACCATCTCTCCACTAGCTCTGTCTTGATTCCCCCCACGGGAATGAACAGCAGATTTCCTTCTGAGAAGATAGCCATGCCTGGGAGTGAAGAACAGGCCACCGTATCCATGGGTACCACTGTGAGAGCAGCCCTCAGCTGCAGTGACTCAGTGGCAGTCACCGACGCTCTGGTTGCACGTCCGCCTGTCGCAATGTTTACGGGAAACATGCTCACTATAAACTCTTACGATAGTCCTCCGAAGTTAAGTGCTGAAAGCTTGGACAAAAATTCAGCGCCTCGAAACAGGGTAGACAGTTCTGGGAAACCTCAGCAGCCACCCGGGGGCTTTGCACCAGCAACCATAAACAGATCCATTCCCTGTAAAGTCATTGTTGACCACAGCACCACGCTGACCTCCAGTTTGTCACTGACTGTCTCCATCGAGAGTGCAGAAACCAGCTTGGACCTCCAGAGCAGGTCTGTGAGGACAGAGGTATCCATCCAGCCCATGGCATGTCCTCAGGTCTCTGTAATTAGCAGGCCTGAGCCAGTGGCAAGTGAAAGTATAGACCACAGTTCGAGTTTCATTGCTGCTTCTGCAGCCAAACAAGACTGTAAAACCCTGCAGGCCCCCTGCACCAGTCTCCGAGAACTGCCCCTTGTTGTTCCTGACAAATTAAACGAGGCGGCTGCTCCTAGTCATAGCTTTGCCGAGCAGACACGGAACCCAACTACTTACAAAAGTGAAGCAGACACAACCTGTAGCAATCAGTATAACCCAGGAAACCGGATCTGCTGGAATGAGGATGCCATGAGGGGCACGGGACAGCCTCTGGTCAGTCACTCTGTTCCAGGTAAACAGAAGGAATATGCAGAGCAGAGCTGCCCGAAGGCCATCAAAACTGAACACGCCAGCTACTCGCACGTGTCAGAGCTGCACCCCAGGAATCTCATAGCAAACGTCGCTCTTCCTGTGAAATCCGAACCTCACGAAGTGGACAAGGGCTTTAGAATGGACACCGAAGACTTCCCTGGCCCTGGGCTGCCTCAGCCAACGGTAGAGGTAGCCGCCACCATACCACAAGCACAGAACCTGGATGCTCCTGCGTCCAGTGCCAGGGAAGAGGCCATTTCCCTGGTTCCAGACACCCTGAAAAGAGTTCCGAGTGCAGGAAGCTCAAGCTGTCGTCTGTCATCCGTGGAGGCTAACAACCCACTGGTGACACAGCTACTGCAGGGCAACCTGCCTTTGGAGAAAGTGTTGCCACAGCCCAGACTGGGTGCCAAGCTCGAAATCAACAGGCTTCCTTTGCCCCTTCAAACTACCTCAGTGGGTAAAACACCACCAGAGAGGAACATCGTTGAAATGCCTTCCAGCTCTCCAAACCCAGATGGTAAGGGCTACTTGGCAGGGACTCTTGCACCACTACAAATGAGGAAGCGAGAAAACCATCCCAAAAAGAGAGTAGCCAGGACTGTAGGAGAACACACTCACGTTAAATGTGAACCAGGGAAGTTGTTGGTGGATCCAGATGTTAAAGGGGTGCCGTGTGTCATAAATTCAGGCATGAGTCAGCTAGGACACAGCCAGCCATTTAAGCAAGAATGGCTGAACAAACACTCGATGCAGAACAGAATCGTTCACAGCCCCGAGGTCAAACAGCAAAAGCGACTGCTCCCCGCGTGTAGCTTCCAGCAGAACCTATTTCACGTTGACAAAAATGGCGGTTTCCACCCTGATGCTGGTACCTCACACAGACAGCAGTTTTACCAAATGCCCATGGCTGCCAGGGGCCCCATTCCCACTGCAGCTCTCTTACAGGCCTCTTCCAAGCCCGCCGTGGGCTGTAATGCATTTGCCTTCAATAGGCATCTTGAACAAAAGGGATTGGGAGAGGTTAGTCTTCCTTCAGCACCCCACCAGCTAAGGCTAGCCAACATGTTGTCCCCCAATATGCCCATAAAGGAAGGTGATGACGTGGGAGGGGCTGCGCACACAATGCCAAACAAAGCACTAGTGCATCCTCCACTGCCCCCACCTCCTCCACCCCCGCCCCCTCCGCCCTTGGCCTTGCCCCCGCCTCCCCCACCACCACCTCCACTACCTCCACCTCTCCCTAATGCAGAAGTCCCATCTGATCAAAAGCAACCGCCAGTTACCATGGAAACCACTAAGAGACTTAGTTGGCCACAGTCCACGGGCATATGTAGCAATATAAAATCGGAACCTCTTTCTTTTGAGGAAGGTTTAAGCAGCAGCTGTGAACTGGGCATGAAACAAGTTTCCTATGACCAGAATGAAATGAAAGAACAGTTAAAAGCATTTGCGCTAAAAAATGCAGATTTCTCTTCCTATTTGCTTTCTGAGCCACAGAAGCCTTTTCCCCAATTAGCTGCTCAGAAAATGCAGGTGCAGCAACAACAGCAGCTCTGTGGAAATTATCCAACAATACACTTTGGTAGCACGAGCTTCAAAAGGGCAGCGTCTGCAATTGAAAAGTCCATTGGGATTTTGGGAAGTGGCTCTAGTCCTGCCACGGGCCTGCCTGGTCAGAACGCTCAGATGCCTGTTCAGAACTTTGCCGACAGCAGCAACGCGGACGAATTGGAACTGAAATGCTCTTGCCGGCTGAAAGCCATGATTGTGTGCAAAGGCTGTGGGGCCTTCTGCCATGATGACTGCATAGGTCCTTCAAAACTCTGTGTAGCTTGCTTGGTTGTACGATAAGAGCTGAGTGAACAATGCAGTATCCCTTTTTGACATGGAAAAGCCAAACAGCAACTGCAAATTGAATAACGTAGCGACTGACTTACATGCTAATTTATTTTACTTTGTAACAGATAATCTTTTTTTTCATAGGATTATTATTTTCTTGCATTTTTTTATAATGAGGAGGATGCAAACCAACTGACTGGCTCAACAGCATGTTGAGCATATTTAATTGCCATTCCCAGCTTCAAAAGTTTCTCTCTGTGCATATACAGGTTACTGCCCCATTCCTCCTTCACCCCCTTTGAGCCCAGGTACAGATAGGAAGAGGACAGTTTTTATTGCTTCATCACCAGAAATGCAGATGTAGAAAAAGGAATGGTAAAAAATAAGGTGGACATGTATTTTTCTGTCAATTAGCTATTACAGCAGGTATTTCTGTACTTGCCGTTACCACCATGATGAAGTCATTTTTGGAATGGGGAATCTGATTTAAATGTGTGATTCCTTGTATTTATTCATATCATGAAAGATACATTAAAGAAGGCATGCCATTAATGAAATTCACTGTCTCTGTTCTCTTTTATCCCTTCTTACTCTCTCTCAGAGACAATGGCAGAAAATAAGTATCTGCCGTGAATTTTGTACACAGATTTTAGTGAAATGTGTCCTGTGTCTGAAATAGCAGCATGGGCCTCATACCCAGTAAATTGGATCTAGCCCTTTGACACCTGATAATATAAGATCGGTTGGCCAATATAGAGTCACAGGCCCAGAAAAGTTTGGAGCTTCATGTATGACTTTTAACACCAAGTATGAAAAAAAAAATCCTAAAATTAAAAGCAAATAAAATACTGTATGTGCATATATAAGTGGTTTGACTATATACATATTAATAATAACTTTCACTCTAATTAAATGAGTAGATATTAAAATTTGAGGGAAAATAATCATAGTCCTTATTAATGACACAATGTATTCTGGTCTCTACCCCAATGGAAGTTGGCCATCTCTTTTTACAAGTGTCATTGATGTTCAAAGGGACTTTAGAAGGTTCAAGTGTGACATTTTTCTGAACCATTTTATTTTCTCATGATTCAGTCTAATTGTATTTGACTCTGAAATAACCCTTATTTTTTTTTTTAAAAAAATACATTTTTAGGTATTTTATGTTTTGATTCGCCCCCCTCCCCATATCTGCGACCATAAACTGCTTTCAAAAAAGGGATACTGCATCTTATAATTATCTTCAGTGTTTATCCAGTTAAGTCTGAGTGTCAAATACTTGAGCTACATTCCGT